GAAAACTAAGATCATGGCATCTGGTCCCATCACTTCATGGCAAATAGATGGGGAAACAGTGGGTGACTTTATTTTTTGGGGGGTCTCCAAAATCACTGCAGATGCCGGTTGGAGTGACTGAACTGAACTGAACTGAAAGGGTAGAACTCATATTAATATATAAGTTCTATTTTGTGTAAAATAAAAAGGACCTCAGCCATTATATCTTATATTCTCATCATGTATATAGGTGGAAGAAAGGAAACTATCATTCATTTATCAACGCATTCTTTTTTAAATAATTTTTTTGACCATGAACTTTATGTCAGGCATTATGGTAAATATTGGCTATATAACAGGAGATTGTTTATCACATGGGACCACCCTCACAGTTCTTATAGTACTTAAATAATAACTGTATAAATATACTTTGATAAAAATTTTGAAGTAAAAATACAATGTGCTAGGAAAGCAGAATATCGGGGAACCTAACACAGTTGGGGGGGTCACAGAAGACTCCGTGAAAAAGCAAGAAAGCTAAGGTCCAGCCACTGTATTAATTGCTTTGGGTACATTATCATTATTTTATTTTCACAGAAGTCTTAACAATTATATATTATTACCCCCATATTATGGATGACAAAACCAAGATTTAGGGAGATTAAGTCATTTACCTCAGTGCACACTGCTTACATGAATCATAATTAATATTTCAATCATGTCTATCAAATTCTTAAACTTATGTTCTTTCCACTCCACCATGCTGTCTCCAACAATGCCTCAAATAGTCTGGCAAATCATGCTGCACTTATTTGTTAAACTTGCAGGGATCCTCAGTATGTTAAACATCACTCAGTTGACATTGTCGAATGAAGACTATTTGTGCCAAGGGTATTTTGAAGAGAATCCAGTACAAATCAGTATAATTTTGGATGACAACAAATTGGTAAATTGATCCAAATCCTTCTTTTTCCTTGTAGAAATCAATTTCCATGGAAAATATAGATCCCTTTGGGGTAGTAAGAAGCAGCAATCTGGGACATGGTAGACTGTATCATTCAAACAGATTTTGAACAGATTCTCTGGCTAAATTTGCTTCATCTCTCATACCCAGAGACTGCTGGCACTCTTCACCAGATAAATTCATGTTTGAACAATCCAAGGGGTTTCAGTAAAATGTATACACATTGTATATGTTCACTTCACTTATATAGGTATTTACTGGGCACCTTCTAAAAGGAAAGCTTTGTGTGACGCTTCACCTCTTTCCTCCAGGAATGAACCTACCAATCATCTAATAGGATGGTACCAGAACAACTTAATAGCTAAAGGGACATAGCTTAAAGGAAGTGATTTAAGTGTTGTCAGAACAAAGTGCCAGGAAGATTGCAAGGAGGAAAGAAAGCATATATGGTTGCTGAGAGAAATGGCATTTGAGGTGAAGTGGAGAGTTTGGGTTGGGGGAAGGAAGAAACCCCATGAAAGGGTACAAATGTCCAAATCATTGGCTGTGGGGAAGCTTTTGGCCCACTTGGACAGAGTGGTTGCTTTTGACTGAAAGATAAGGTAGCTAAGTTCTGGGGGAAGGAGTTGGTAATACCCTGGAGTTGTTATTTGAAGGGTGGTGGTTTAGTTGCTAAGTTGTGTCTGACCCATCCCGGGCTGCCAGACTTTTCTGTCCATGGGATTCTTCAGGCAGGAATACTGGAGTGGGTAACCATTTCCTTCTCCAGTAGATTTTCTCAACCCAGGAATCAAAGCTGGGTCTCCTGCATTGCAGGCAGATTCTTTACCAACTGAGATACTAAAGAAGATTTATTTGAAGGGAACTAGAGAACTTAAGGATATTGAGGAAAAGCTGAGTGTGTGTTGAGGAACATACTTTAGAAAAATAAATTGGGTGAAAATACAGAGAGTTATTGGAATTAGGGGAAGAAGAGATGGAAGAAAATTTTGGAGATTATTATTAAAAATATTAACAAGTGAATGAAAGGACCATGATGAGAAAAGGTAGTGGTATTTCTACAGAGTACAGTGATCTATAGTACTACTACTATGTTACTGCTAACTGTAAAACATCTAAGTTCATATATATATATATATGTGTATGTATAAATAAGTCTACATTCATATATATATATATGAATGTACACATACATAATGAAATATTGTGCTCAATTGTGTCCAACTCATTGTGGTCCCACGGCTCCTCTGTCCATGGAATCTTCCAATCAAGAATACGGGAATGGGTTGCCACTTCCTACTCCAAGGGGTCTTCCTGACTCAGGGGTCCAACCCATGTCTCTTGCATCTCCTACATTGGTAGGCAGCTTCTTTACCACTAGCACAACCTGGGAAGACCCAATGGAATATTACTTAGCCATGATGAAATACTGCCAATTGCAATATCAAGGATAGATGCAGTAACATCATATAAATTGGTAAAACCATTTTGAAAAACTGTTTAACATTTACAAATCTGAATGTACTTACATCTGTAACCAACAAGGTCACTCTTAGGTATGTACCAAATATATGTGTACATAAGATAAAAATATGTGTATCAGAATGTTCATAGTATTTATAACAGTCCCAATGTTTGGCTGTTCTCATGTAACACAATTGTTCATAAATAGGGAAATGGATAAATGGATGAATGGGTTGTGTTAGATTCCACAATGGAATACTACATAGAAAATAAAATGAATGAACAGCTGCTGCACACAACACTGACCAAATGAAGCCAGACAAAAGAACACACTGAATACTGTTTCATTCATATAAAGTGCAAAAATAAGTCAAACTAGTCTATTGAATCAGAAATCAAAGCTGTGGCAGTCCATGGAGAGAATAAGTGGTGATGATTGGGAGGGGCAGACAGGATTTCTTAAGTGCTAGTATAGTATTGGGTTGGCAAAAAGTTCATTTAGATTTTTTTTTCTATCAGAAAAGCCCAAATGGACTTTTTGGATAACCCAATACTTTTTCTTGGTCTCAGGGATGATGACATGAGTGTACTAATTTGGTGAAAATTCATCAAGATGTCCACTCATGATTTGTTTACTTTGCTGAGTGTTCTACTTCAATAAAAATCTATTATGTTAAAAAGATACATGTGGGAAATGGGAAGTGTTACAGAAGGTAAAGACATTGCAGATATAAGCTAGAAGTGAAGCCAGTGATATGTTTAGTCATTTCAAGGTTCCCTATCTTATTCAAGATATCACAAGGTGGTCAAACATCTGGCATGTCAACCTTCAGAAAACCAGAAATCACACAGGAAAGATGGATAGGATGAATAAGAAATGTAGAATTACCTTCTGCTCCCATACATACCCATTTACTCGGGGGGTAATTTGTGACACAGCATGAACACTCTGCATTGAATTAGTTCTCCTAGCTATTTTAGCAAGTATTCAGTTATCTGTATGTATCTCTAATGTTGGGGTGTCAAAAAAAAGGACAAAAAAACTGATGATCTGACTGTAAGCATTAAAAATATTTGCTTTGTTAAAATATGTGCTGTCATGTTCTGACATGGACATTTCCATTACAGATAAACAAAATGGTCATTAATACGTGTACACTCATTATTACAATCTATTACATAAGCCTTGCTTGATGGCTGATGATCCGAAGCTGCAGGTTCCAAAATCTGGCCTGGCCTTGTTATATATGCCCATTAAAACTGCTTTCACATGATAGTTATCAATAGGTACTTCTACTACATAGAAAAAAGTAAAGGGAATAAAATTTTAAAATTTAATAAAACTTAACAGTCAAATAACAGATTGAATCACAGTGGAAATATAAAACACTACAGATTTTAATTGAATTATAGAATCTATTGGTTTTTTTTTTTTTTCTTATGCCCTAGCTCTTATTTGTCATTTGCAGGCTCTTTGTAATTGATGTTAATAAACTGTCATCCCTGAGCTGATTTTTGGTAGATAGGGGCTGAGGAATGAGCCTAAATAGATTGCCCTCTGCATGTACCAGTATTAGACTTTTTGGCAGAAACTAGAGACTAACAGTCACCAAAAGGGATTAAGTATCTCCTCATAACAGGGGATAACTTCCTCAAGGGCAGGTCCTTGAGTGCTAAGGGGACAGACTGGCAGAGAGTTTTCACTCTTGGGAGCAATGTCATACCTTCATTGTGGATGCCCTTCTTCTGGTTTACTTGCTAACTCATTTTCCATATATTGAATCCACTTTCACAATTTAAATGCAAAAAACCGTAACATAATAGATTTGACAATAGGATATGATTGAAATGCTTTGGCACTAATCTCTTTTTTTCTGGAATGGGAAGGCAATTTCTGCTGAATCAGAAGGATTCCTCTCTATGTATCGCTGGCCAGATCATGGTATTTTCAATTCAACACAATGTTCATTCAGGTGCAGGATCTGCAGCGAGGCAGTGATGGCAAATGGAGGTGGTAGTTTAGTCACTAAGTCGTGTCCAACTCTTGGAACCCCATGGATTGTAGCCTGCCAAGCTCCTCGGTCCATGGGATTTCCCAGGTAAGAATACTGGAGTAGGTTGCCATTTCCTTCTACAGGGGATCTTCCAGACCCAGAGACTGAAGCCCTGCCTCCTCATTGCCTGTGGGGTTCTTTTACCACTGAGCCACCAGGGAAGCCCTGCAGCAGTGGCATAGATAGACCCACGTTCACAGAACAGGCCGATATGCTGAAAATGCTGGTACACTTGCGAATCACTAATCCATGACATAGACAAACACACATAACACACAAGCCACGAGGGGAGACTTGAGCGATACAAGCTGAAGCAAACATAGTCCTTTGCCCAGTCAAATTCTTGCTAATTCTTTAATCCCGTTTGTATCTCTTCTCAGGGTCCCACAATGTGCTAGCCTTCCTCATTTTTACCTTCCTACTACTAAGGGAATTAATTGATTGTTTTGCTTTAAAAGGCTTCCTGCAGGGCTGTAGACAAGCTGGGTAAATAAAAATAAGCATGAGAGAGTAAATTGTGTCTGTACATGATATTATATCCTACTTAATTATGTTAATAGGGACTAAAATAATTATGAGATGACTATTCCTATTTATGCCACTCTTGGTGTCAAATTTATTTCCCTCATCTAGGGCTTCATGGGATCTGGGCATTCCGGGGCTCTACTTTTTTCTCTGAAAAAATATTTTGTCTGATTATTTAACTTGCTTGATAGTAGGTACCAGAAAAAGAAAAAAAAGTAAATAAAAGAGGTAAAACCAAATCAGTTAAGAAGATATTCATTCAAATATTAGGAGTTTTGAAAATATCAGACACCTATACTCTTTACGCCCCTATTATGACCAAAGTTCAGAAGAAGTGTGTAATTTGTCCCTCCATGTTTTGGTGAAGTTACAGAAAGAGAAAAATAATCAACGAGAAGAAGATAGTAGGCAACAACTAAAATTTAATTACCTTTTCATTCTGCAGATGTGTTTTTCTACTTCATCTTAAAAATTAGGCTGAAGGTATATAAGACCTACAATGGAACCAACCCTGATGCTGCTAGCCAGGCCATTGACTATGTTCAGAGACAGCTGCACTGTTGTGGAATTCACAACCATTCAGACTGGGAAAGTACAGACTGGTTCAAAGAAACCAAAAACCAGAGCATCCCACTTAGTTGTTGCAGAGAGACAGCCAGCAGCTGTATCAGCAGTCTGGCCCACCCCTCTGATCTCTATGCTGAGGGGTGTGAGGCTTTAGTTGTGAAGAAGCTACAAGAAATCATGATGCATGTTATCTGGGCAGCGTTGGCATTTGCAGCTATTCAGCTGCTGGGCATGCTGTGTGCCTGCATCGTGTTGTGCAGAAGTAGAGATCCTGCTTATGAGCTCCTCATCACCGGTGGAACCTATGCATAGTAGAAAACTCAAGCCTGAGCTTTTTAGTCTTGTCCTGACTTGGAAGGTGAATTGAGCAGGTCCACTGCTATTGGCCTCCTGAGTTCATTTAGTTAAAGCACATGTACACAGGTGTTGGACAGAGCAGCTTGACTCTTCATTTGTCTGCCTTCTTACCTACCCACCGATGACTTTTTTCCCCTTTGTTCTAGCTGACTCTCCATATCCGTAACTGTTTTGAGTATGGCGGTAAATGTTCTAGCCTCAGAACTGTTTGTGAGTTGTGTAGTGTGGTAGAATTAGAGGTTGCCGTGGCCCTGCTTCTGTCACCTCCAAGCATAATGGGCCTGCTGCTGTAGTATCACCAGGTCTTTCAGTCTTCACAGTGGAGAGGAGAACTCTTGGTAAAGGTTTTTGCCGGGGGGAGGCAGTCAGCTGTCTGGTTAAAGTTAATACCAGATGGTGCCCCTCATCAGTGTCCTTTTTAAAAATATATATTATAGTCGAGTAAGATAGCAATTGTACAAAATGGCTGAGATAGATTTTAGAATCATACCTCGTGTATCTTGGTTCATCTTCAAAATCAGACTGATCTTTGAAACTAGCGGTTTTTAATCAAAGCTGGCTTTATAGGAGGAGTATAATGCATGCACTACTGTTTTAAAACAATTAGTGTGAGTGCGTGCGTGTGTATTTTTGTATGATTGACCCATTCATCATAAGTCTAAACTTGTTAGAAATAATGTACCCATGTAGACTAGCAAAATAGTATGTAGATTTGATCTCAGTTGTAAATAGAAAAATCTAATTCAATAAACTCTGTATCACCCCCTCAAAAAAAAAAAAAATAGGCTGAAAATCCATTTGACCTCCTTCTAGCCTCCAGCCATTCATTTAAAACATGACATCCAATGCACATCAAGCTTTCAAGTTTAGCAAGAGAAAGGCATATGAGATGGAAAGGGAAGCGTATTTGCGGAATTGAGGGTATTCTGTATCCCAGAAGATATCAGGTGTGTTCTATGGTTTGCTCATTTAATTTTTATAATAATTTTCTAGTAAAAGGATAAGTTTTACTGAGGTGCAGATAAGTTATATAACATCCTCAATTTCACATTGTTATATATACAGCAAATTCAAAACTGTAACTAAGCTGATCGAAAGTCCATGATTTTTCCAATACATGGTCCTGAAAAGTACATGTGTATTATTACACATTATCATACAGTTGTTTACTTGTGTTATCACTTAACGATGCCGAGAAAACAAATTTACCTTAAAACAAGACAATGTTCTTTTAAAAACTTGGAAAACTGCAGCTACCTCAGCAGGACACTAACAGACACTAACAGCAGAAAATACAGCTTCATTTCTAATGCAAACTACCCCCAAATAAGTGGCTTTGTCTCCAAGACTATCTTATTTCTGGCAGTGTACGTAAGAGGCAAGGTTACAATGGCAATCATGGAGAGATCAGTGAAAGTGTCAGTCCTGGGACAGAAGATCAATTGTCTGCATTGTGAGTTCTCCTTGCCCAGAACCCCAGGGACTCAAAAGCAATCCCATTCTGCTTTCAATACCTCCTTTCTCTCTGCTCTTGAATAGTCCCATTTGAAAGTAGCCGGTCTAAAGTTCACGGAGAACTGACTCTAGCTCAGAGAGTTCAAACATTTAGTTGAGCTAAGAACCTGGAAGGGCAAATTATTATTATTTTTTTCTTTTTTATCTCAACTACTTGTGACTTCTAAATTAGGATGGCGAGATTTCAGATACATTATTTTCTGCCTCTAGTCAAGTCAGTTAATACTATAATTTACTGTGTTAATGGTACCATTTGCCCCTTCTGATCCCTCCCTGCATGCAGAGGCAGCAGTTTAAAAGGGGTTGCATAAACTCTCCTTCCACTAAGGGGGAGAAGGCTTGTGATTATCAATAATGCACTTTGCAGGATAAATAATGCACTTTGCAGAATAAATAATGCACTTTGCAGAATATAAATCAACATCCTTAGATATCAACTCTGAAGACACTTTGGCAACCTTGATGGCATTACCATTAATAGGTGACTGTAAAGAACATGACTAAAGTACTTAATGCTATATTTCATACCACATGGTACACAATTGCAGAAATGAATTTTCACATTACTAAAATAATAGATCAGAATATAATCTTGTCACTGATTATTAGGGATACCTGAGTAAATAGAACAGCTAGCAAACTGCATATATTTCTAATCAAAAACAATTTCAATAAGGACAATTTTCAACCCTGAGCTGCAGAAATCTAAGATTACTCTCATCATCATCTATCCTTTGTAGTTTTCTTCTCTTTTAAAATCTGCCTTTGTTCGCCAGTCTAATCATAAAAATCAGAAATTGCAATTTCAAGAAGACACAAAGAGACAATATCAACTTTGATCCTGAGTGTTTCTTCTTGTAGAACTCCAAAAAGCAGTTTCAAGTCTTACAAATTCTCTTTGACAACAATGATTAGAAGTCCAGCGACTGCTACAGTAATTGCTCCATAATCATATCTATAATACCCGACCTGGTTTATGCATACAATCTATATTCTAATAGCAGTCAACAGGTCACAAGTTAATAAAAATACCATTAACGTCCCCCTGTGACTAAGGAAGAAAGATATTCATCTTATGAGGCCACAGTGGGCCAATATAAAATCCTTGGCTGTTAGCATAATTAACTGTGCTCGCCCGTGGATTTCCCTGGAGGACCTTGTGGGTACAGGTTGACCTTGAGGCGTGCTCTCCGTAGTGTTCTGTCAGAGGGCACAGACTGTCAAGGGTTCAGGTCAGCCCTGAGTGAGGGTCTGAAGAACATGCCTGTTTATGTAATCTTGCTGGACACCGAAAGCATTTGCACACAGTTTGTATTTTCTGAGGTGCAGGCGCATAAAAACAAAGCAACCAATAATAGTTGTGAAGTTGACAGTTTTCTACGACATCTCAAGCCTCTCTTTGAAAAGATAAACAAAAGTGATAAACCTTTAGCTAGACTTATCAAGTAAAAAAAAAAAAGAGAGAGAGAGAGAGAAGGTGCAAATCTTCTTGTTCCTCTTTCCAGGCTCAAAACTTACAACTTTGTTTTCCTCCAGACACAACACATCTGCCTGCTTTGCAAAGCTCTCCCTTACCTAATCAAAACACAAAAAGCATTGGCAGCAACTTTGAAACCTTGACCAACACTCCATCATGTTAAAGTTCTCCTATGTTTTTGCATTTTAAAGCTTTTGTAATGGATAGAAAATGTTTTTTCTCAGTAAAAGATGAAAAATGGGGATTCAAGATCTGAGAACAGTGAAGGAATGTTACCACTTATCTTTGAGGTGTCTCCTACTGACCTTCACAGCAGATTTGCTTTATTGATGTCTAACTGCAGAACTGAGCCAGGAAGGTCATGGTAGGGTCTAAATGTGTGCTTTTTTCTCTCCCCTCAATCATAGCTCTACTGTTCAATGTGGAGCACTCACTAATCATTTTCAGTTTCTTAATGAAGAATTTTAAAGGTATAAATATGCAGAGAATAATATTAGAAACACATCTGTAACCTTCTTTTGGTTTTACTTATCTTAGTATTTTGCTATATTAGCTCCTGATCTCTTTTTTTTTTTAAAGAAATAAAGTGGTACAGATACAGATGATATTTCTTTACCTTCATCCTAAGGGAGAACCACTCTCCTAAAGTTTTCTATTGGTAAAGTGCTTTTACTAATAAGCAATTTGCCACTGAGCTTTTTGTGTTTTTAAAGTTTATAAGCAATGGCACCCCGATTTGGGGATGAACTGTGCTCTCTCCAAATTTATACGGTGAAGCCCTAGCCCCTAGCCCCTTAGAATGGACTTTGGAGATAAGGATTTTAAGGAATTGAGGGTGAGGAGGCTGTGATGGAATGCCCTAATCAATCTGACTGGTGGTGTGAAAAAAGAAGAGATAGCAGTGAGGGGCACAGAGAAAAAGCCACGTAAGAACACAGCAAGAAGGCAGCCACCAGTAAGCTAAGGAAGCGGGCCTCAGGAGAAACGAAACCTGCCGACACTTTGATCTTGGACTTCTAGACCACACAACTATAAGAAAATAAATAACTGTTTAAGCCATCCAGTCCATAGTAATTTGTTATGGTAAATTCCTAGCAGACTAATACACCCCCCTTCAACTTTTTTTTTTTCTTCTGATTTTTACTTTTTTGCCTACATTGACATGTTGCCTGAGTTCCCTTATTGAAGAGTTGCACAGGATTCATCATATGTATGAGCTGCAGCTGGATTTATCCACTCCATAATGGACATTCAGGTCACTCAACATGTTCTGCTAAACTAAGCAATGTTTAATTGAACTTCACCTCCACATTGCATACTTGAGAGTGGTTCTCTACCTACATACTTGTATCTAGAAGGAATGTTTTCTGTCTTATGAGGTATAGGATACATATAACATCACTAGTTTAAGATCCTGTCAAATCACTATCAAATGTGATTGCAACCAAAAACCCTCCTCCCTATAAGTGTAATATGAACAGTATGTTTTCTTTACATTCTTTCCAAGACTTGGTATTGTTAGACTTTTGTATGATTTCCCTAATCTGATGGGTGAGAAGTGTGGCTATTTCAATTTTTATCTTGCATTTCTTTGATGATAATGAAGTTTGAGCCTCTCTTCATGCTTATTAAACATTCCAGTTTACTGTTTCTAAAATTGTCTAGATGTGCCATTTTTTCATTTTTTAGTTGAATTACTCTTTTTTACTGATTTGTATGACTTATTTATATATCCAGGCACCTGATCTTTGCAGGCTATATACAATTGCAAAATCTGTCAAAGGCTGTGGCTTATATTTTAACTTTGTGAATGGTGTTTCTAATTCATTGGTAAAAAAAAATATAATAAAAATCATCTTTACAATTTGGTACTTTTGTGTCTTGTTTCAGAAATTGTTTCCTATATCATTACAAGTATACATATTTTTTTCTAAAAGCTTTTAAACATTGCCTTTCATATTTTATCTCTTAATCGTCTGCAGTTCATTTTATTGTATGACACAAAAGAAAAATTTAATTTTACATTTTCTATGGAGCCAATTGTTTCTACACCATTTATTGAAATACATCATTACTTCTCTAATTACCCCCTCATCTACTAAATACTATCTCATTTCTATATATGCTAAATTTCTATATATAGTTAAGTCTGTCTTAAACTTGCTAATTTAGTCACCTATTACTGAAGCAATGACACTTGGTCCAAATAACTATAGCTTTATAGTAAGTTTTGACTTTCATAGCTGCCGAATTGGAAGACTGGATTAGCTCAAGCTTCTAGAATCCAGGATACCTGGTCGTGGAGAACAGGATCAGTAGTCACTGTTCAAGGACTTTGGTCACAGATGTGTCAGTGTACTGAGGGAATAGAAGAGAGATGAGGGATGAAAAAATAGAAGCTGAATGCACTTTTAGGATAACAGTGTACTTCAGCCAAGCAGTACTGTGTAAAGAGGAGAGAAAAAGTTCTGCAAATCCTAAAAGTTTAGAATATATCATTCAGTTCCTCAGTCATTTAACATTATATGACAAATAACACCTGGCATCTGGTAATTTTCAACACTGACCTTGACTTTAGAATGACAGATAAAAAGTTTAAAAACATTATTATTTCATTTTATAGAACAATAACTCATTATATTTGAAAATGTGGATCATATTAAGTATATCACTTATTTTATTAAAACAGCAGATGGTATTCATAGGTATTTAAGAGTCATGATACACTGTTTATGTGGACTTTAGTGAAGGAGGAAGTCAAGAGGGAACATGAACCAGTGACAAACAAAC